AACGCACTTTATTTTATCCCAATCTCTGACTTTTTTCAGTATCACAGCATTGTACTGTTATTCAGCCTGTAGTCTTGTATTTGCACAGTACATCAGCTTTAATATCTCTTGTTTGCTGGAGCTCAACAACTATGGACTGTCCCCCATGACATAAACCAGAACAATGTGGTCCAAAGAAACGAAGAAGTGACCTCATGAGAAAAAAAAAAACAAAACAACAAAGCTTAAAACTTAAAAAAATAATTAATTAATTTGTTAATAATAACAAAGAACATATGCCACACAGTTGCCACCATGTTGCCCCTGGACAGCTTGGCCTACTGCTTTAAGACCAGCAAAAGATCCCTCATACACAAGCTCCAACCTCCCCAAATTTCAATTTCTCTCCATCTTCACACAGGTTCCCTTTGTTCCCCCTTGCTCGTTGTATAGATCTTTGGTGGCCACGCTTAGCTGTTAAATATTTATGTAGAGTGAACGAAATAATACCCGCTGTAAGGTTTCCTCTGCAGAGCGCACTATCTCTCAGGAACATACAGTGGGTTTAAAAGGCGTAGTGCCGAGGTCTGTGCGCCTCTATGTCATTTTTTAATCTCTAAAAAGAAATGTGTGCTCCAAACTGCTGGGAATGCCTTATCTCTGAGGATTTACCTCTGTGAAACAAAAACAGGCAGTGCATATGTAAACGGCGGTGTGCATACATTTGAAAGTGCTGTTAAGAGTTTTGACAAAGAGCAGAGCAGTGGGACACTCACTATCACACGACTACGATCTGGGCTTCAGGGAGGTTCAAAAAAAGTCAAATCAAAGTCTTTTTAAATCCGCCAGGAATGTACCCACACATGGATCCAAGCAGACTTTATCCACAGCGGATCAGAAGAGAAAGACAGACATTGCATTTTGGTGTAGACAGAAAGTATGTGCACTCTTAAATTTCATTAGATATTAAACATATTAAACACAAGTTTGTATATGTGAATTATTATATACAGTATACAGTAATATATTTTAAAAGTCTGCAAAAAGAGCTGATTAACCCTCAAAGAAAAGATATTTACAGTGTAATCTACTCAACAAGGGTTAACTATAAAATAATATTTCCAAAAATTAGATACCATCCACACATATTTGAAATGGACGCTTAAATTACTTTACATATTTATTTATGTATTCCAGCTTTCGCCTAAGCTACAAACATTTTCCTCAGGCTTCTATTCTGCATAAAGTAGTTTCAATTGGCAACTTGATTCGATATGAAGCGTTTTTATTCTCTCTTCTCTTTTATTACCTTCTATTGCAGTCTGTTGATTTTCGATTGTTAATATGATGATTAGAATTAGACCTACAACACAGCACCATATCATTTTTAAAGGTCCTGTATTTCACAAAATTGACTCCTGTGAGCTTGTTGTTACCTCATACCTGGAGCTGTGTTTCATTCACACATGTTTGAGTAATTATGCATTATTAGTTTGTCATCTCCAAAGCCCAAAATGCTCTGTTCTACCTTGTGGTGTCATGAAGCTGTAGTTTTCAAGTTAACAGCTACCTTTTACCTTTGGTTCAATAGAGACCTAAATTTGCAGGGTTTGTGTGTTTAACATTTCTGAATGAAACAAAGCAAAACTCTGGGTTTTGATGAGGAATTAAGGTTATAACAAAGGTTAGAAAATAGCATATAGGCCCTTTAAGCATTTTCACAACTTGTGTTGCCACTTTGTGTGAACTTTTGGATCACTAGTATCCATAAACAATCTCCCCTTGCATCATATTGCAACCCTCTGTCTGCACTGTCCTCAAAAGTTTCCGTGTATCTTTCCTGAAGCCTTGACAGCAGCTGTGAAATCTCATATAATGTCCCCCCGTACATGTCTGTGTGTGTGTGTTTGTGTGTGTGTGCGTGTGTGTAGTGTACACATGTCTAGTCTACTGTGGAATTCCTCTGTAGCTCTTCCTGTTCCTGTGATGAGGCCCAGGGGCATCGGGGGGCGCTCTATCCCCGAGGGGTGCTTTTGTGCGCGGTGACTGTGCGTAACGGCTACCTGTCTGCCTGAAACGCTCCATCCATCGCACTCTTGAAAGCCTGTCAGAAGATCCACGCCGGAGTGAGCGAGCTAAAGGGACCACGCCGCAGCCACCTCAAGGGTCAGAGTTCACGCTGACTCCGGGGAGACGGGGAGAGACGATAATTATCCAGATTGAATCCACCTGGCCTACTGTATGTCGCGAATAATGGCTTCCTCTGGCCTATGCGCTTTGCCAGGACGTTGACTCCGATTAGTGATGGGGTAATTGTAAGATATAGCGCATCAATTTCGCAAAAGGAAATGCACTGATTTACTCCTTGGTACTGTGTTGTGACCTGGGCGAGGACTCCCCCTCGTCCGCGTAAATCCATGGTAACAAACCGAACTGTCACCTCGCGTTACAGGGGTCACTCTGGCTGTCCGTGTTGATTTGCCACGTTCTCATGTCCAATTTCACAGGTCTTGAAGGTGGGCTCTCCCTTCACAAATGCATGTTTTTTCCAGTAAGCTGATTCTGACGTTTCTTAATACATTTTGATTTAATACAGTGCAGATTGGAGCTGTCAGTCATAGAAAATGGCAATCCCTTTGACGGGTTTTGTAAAAATGGCTTGTGACAGATTAGCCTAATGCTGCAGGATACACTTAACTCCTGGGGCAATTGACTGCACCTTCACTTTGCATAAGATTTCCAAACACAAGGTCTCAGGCACTGGCTCGCTGTGTTAAGATATGGCCGTAATTCCCAAGGTGTTCATTATGTTTATGCTGCATATTTTGTGCACTTAAAATTCAGGAGACATGGCCTTGGCTTGGAAATGGCAAGAAAAAGTGTTCTGTACCATGGGGCCTCATTTTCATAGTACGTTAAATGTTTTATTTTTCCTTTCGCCTTAGGATGAAAACTGTGAGAGGAAGAGGGCTATACATCCTAGTCTAATAACTCCTACTCAACAAACACACATATATATATCGAGACGCATATATATTTATTTATATACACTGCCCAGGCTGTTGTTTGTTGTGCCGATGCAGACGCCAATGTGGGAGGAAAAGCAGAAGCTAGGTAAATGGGGACAAAGAGTTGAGCAACAGCTTCTCTTAAGTCGGGAGAAGACTCTAGAAACACTGTTATTTCTGTGTAGGAGGCTGAAATTGTGTCTATTTCCTGAGAATTCATATGTGTTATAAGCAGTCAAGCAGATGACTGACACTTCCAGCAAATCACTCTAATATTCCCTCTACTGACACAACCTAGACTTCAAGGGCCCATATTACACTATATTCTGATCTGTTATACTGTTGTTTCTTTGTCAAAAACATACTTGGAGTTATGTTTTGTTTCATTCACCCATGTTAAACACACAAATCCCTCATTTAGACTTAAATCTTCTCTCAGACCTCTCAGACTAAAAACACTTCGTCCCAATTTGTGATGTCATGTTGTAATACAGGAAGTGCTAGACTTTATGTTTTGATTTGTTTTTATTGTGATTTTAATGTTTTTCTTATTACAAATACAAATAAACTTGCCTTGCCTTGCCTATGTTTTTAAACTCCATACACCCTCATTAAAATCACTTGTAAGGCTGTGCACTTAATTGAGTTTTGATCATGATTTCGATTTATGTGCCAAACGATCTCCCAACTCATATAATCAATTTGAAATAATTTAGGGTGCACTCACACTAGGATTTTAGAACCGTTATCAAGCACAGATTGCCCCTAAAGTGCACTGCGAGTACAGTTGTGCATGGCACAGTTGGCACTTTGGCCCGGTTGGAGGAGGTGGGCCAAAGCACAGCACGGTCGCTCATGTACGTGTACACACATGACTTTACTTTACAGCCCTGTCATTTGTGCTGATATTACTCATACGATAAAAACTGTGAATAAAGAATAAAAGCTTTATAAAGTTTATTTTGCAATTTTTCTTTATATAAATAAGTATATTTATTTTATTTTTTTAAATATAGAGATTGTAGAACAGCTGGATATATACTTTATTTTACAAACATTTTTTTCTATGCCTTATTTCATGTTCAAAGTATGTTTTATTCATTTTGTGGTTTATACATCGCAAAACTGCTCTAAGGTACATATTTGTAGCCAATATTTGTTTTCAGTTCCTAGTGTGTTATTTTTTTTGAGAGAGAGAGAGAGAAATGCTGAATAAATGCATCGTATAACTAAAAAATAATAGTTTGAATAATCCTGATTTCAGAATTGACCAAAATAATAATAGTGATAATGATTTTCTTCATAATCGAGCAGCCCTAATTACTTGGATAATATCAGACCTGAACTAAAGGTAAAAGTTAGCTGTTCACTTGAAAACTTCCACTACATGGTGTCACAAGGTGGAACAGAGCAAGCCAGATCAAGCCAGACTAATAAAAAGAGATTACTGAAACATGTGTGACTAAAATCTCACAAGAGTCAATTTTGCATAACATAGGACCTTTAATCTAGCAGCTTGTACTACTTTAATATTACAACAACCAATGTGAGAGTGCGTTACATTAGCCCACATGATTGAATGCTGTTGCAATCAAATGAAAGTACAGCTTATTCTCTGAAGTAGTTTCAACTATTCTGTCTTATTACTTGCTCTCTGTGAATATAACATCATTCACTGTAGATTTTTTTTCCACATTTGCCAATTATTCTATCAGTTTGTATTTCTTGACTGTGTGATGGAAAGAATATGACCTATTATTTTCTCATTATATAACACTGCACATGGCCTTGACTACTTTGTGTAAGGGTTACTGGAGCTGCATGTAACTTTGCTGCAATCGGACCACTTATGTTCCCTGGGGGCTTTTCCATATTTAATTCTATATAATATTGTGAGCTTTGAATTTTTTATGATCCATGTTCATGTAACACACGAGCGCTGTACGGCATGTTCCCTCATCAGAAGATCTAACCCTTTTTTGTCCTTTTCTTTTCACTCCTCTTCCTCCACAGCACGTTGAGCATTTATAGTATCAGCCAGGAGGACGAGGCCATATACCAGTGCATCGCCGAGAACAGCGCGGGATCCACACAGGCCAGCGCGCGGTTGACGGTGTTGTGGGCGGACGGGCTGCCCGGCGTGCCCAGCCAGGTCCAGGCGGAGGCGCTGTCCCCCTCCTCCATCCTGGTGTCATGGAAAGAGCCTCAGCAAAACACTCAGGACATCATCGGATACGTGCTGCACATCCGAAGGACCACAGGTAAAATCGCACCTGTGTGGTTATGACAGTGTCTCTGATTGACATGTTTTGTAACTATAACAGCACAGATATAACATTATAGGCTCAGATATGTAATCTTGCTCAGCTTTAGATACAGCAGCCAATGCATCTGATTCACCATATAACAATACTGAGCTACAATTAAGTATTCACACTGCAATAAAAATAAGTAGGTAACTTTAAAGAAATTATAGCATTTAAATTATAGGAGGAATACAGCTATGAGACAGTATAGTGCTTTACCTTGTAGTTTAAGTTTGAATTTGGCTTGAATAGTATCTTTCTAAAATCAAAAATATCACCTAATTAGACAAATAAACAGAACAAAAAATAAAAATCGGATGCATGAAACTTCTATCTTATTGTTAAAGCCTATATATTCTTATTCTACTACAAAAGCTGGCCCATCTCCTGTATTCTTGTTTCCAGCTCAACAATGGTACAGGAGCCTATGCCATGTGTAGTACAACATAAATTCAGCTACTTCAGTATATATTTCAATAATATTTACATTGCAGGACCAATCAGTCAAATCAAAGTGAAAATAATTAAATAAATAATGAAATTCAATTGCAGACACAGTGTTTTAAGAGTATAATATAAACGTAAGTTCAAAAAATGCTGAATAAATAAAGGTTGAAATTATCGGAAGAATACAGCCATGGGAGACCTTGATCATTCATCTTGTGCGGGTTTTGTTTCCGCTTTCTTGCATTTGTTCTTGTCCATTAACTGTTGTTTCTCTGCTGAATAAATTCTGAAATTTGATGAATTAAACCAGTTAACTGCTCACTATGCCATCTTATTATCAAACCCTGTGTATACTAAATAATAAATAGGGTAACTTAGCCTATTCGGTGAATATTAGTATATTATAGTAGTCTAACTATAAGTATACTTTATGTATTGAACCCATCTCCCATTGAGTGTCTCTTGTTGTTGCAGTAGGATGTTTGCTCCAGTGCTCACGTTGAGATGTGACAGTACAGTCCCCATGTGCCAGATGCTTTTCTCCTCTGTACTTCTGTCAGATGGCTAATTAAGGACCCGAGGGGGCGACCAATAGGATCTGCTGTAATTACCTTTCCAAGATGCCATGGCCCAATGCCTTAAGAGCTGGAGAAAGATAGTAGTTATGGTTGGGGGTCTTTGGATTAAGAGCAATAAAATGCTCTAATGCATTCAGTGTTACTCCCATTTTTACCACCTTCTTCTTCCTCCACAGTCACAGATCTGCTCCCAGGGCCAAACTGGATTAGCTATTACCTAAGAGAGATGCTTCGATAAAACTGGTGGAATAGGCCATAACCATAAAATAATGACAGAAACCGATCGTATATATTGGCTTTACCCTTCACGCGGTGTCTTGTGGCTGGAGGCAGTACCCTTCTCGTACAACCTGTTTTCCATTTTTATTTCATACCCTGCCCTCCTTCTAACTTCATCCCATCTCTCCTCCTCCTCCATCATCCCTCCGTCAGACCCGGCCGAGATGGAGTATGAAGAGGCGGTCAGCAAGGTGACGCTTCAGCAGATCATCAGGGATCTGGAGCCCTCCACCAGCTACACCTTCTACGTCAAGGCCTACACCTCCCATGGGGCCAGCAAACCATCAGACAGTGTCACCCAGAGCACGCACGGGGAGGGTGAGGAGATGCGAGCATGTCTATTTGCACAGCCTATTTCACCCCACTACCACCATTTATATTTACACGCCAGCCAACCATTGCGTAAAGCAGTTTGTTGCGGTTTATATGCAACATTGAGCCAAAGTGAGTCGTAATTCGCGCTTGAGGGAGAGATAATAGCTCCCGTGTTTGCTGTAAGCGTCTCGTCGTCATGTTGTTTTATCAGGATGGGTAACTTGGCTCACACAGGCAGGTCTGAAATTATTCATATATATACACTCACTGATTTTTATAGAAGATGATGTCATGTTTGCCTATTCTATTCAAAATCACATTTAAGTACACTACACAATGCAAGAATTTTATAATTTTTTTTATATTGTATGTTTTGACAAAAGAAATATACCTTTTCTTAAAGGTCCCATATTAGGCTAAATTGACTCTTGTGGGCTTTTAGCAAAGATGGAATGTGGTTATCTTCTCAAAACCATTCCTGAAGTTGTGTTTGTTTCATTCACACATGTTTGAGTAATCGTACATTATAAATGCTCTGTTCTACTTTGTGATGCCATGAAGTGGTAGTTTTCAATTGAACAGCATTGAACAGCAGACATTGGCCAGGGCTGAAATTATTCAAAGATTCTAGTGAAGGAGTTTGAAAACCCAGTGGAGCACTTCCTGTATTATCGTATTATCACATGACATAACAAGGTGGAGCAGAGTGTTTTCCGTTTGAGAGAAAAACGGTTTTGTGATGAGGGAACAACATTACAACATAGATCAGAAAATTGCGTAATATGGTCCCTTGTGGCAATTAATTTTATATGTTATAGTTGTTGAACGTCTTATACATTTAGTTTTCAAATTATTCTTTCAAAATTCATTCATATTTTCAGGTCTGGATACTATAAATGTTCATGATTAATCAGTTTATTGATTAATCACCATTATGAACTTAATTTGAAGGGTGCTAGAAATTAATTGTTACGGTGAACAAAAGAGTCAAATCATGTCATCAGAGAACAGACAGAATTTTGGGCTAAGTTATAAGTTATATTTTTAAACTGCCAATAAACTGCTGGTTTATTCTTAACGTAATGTAAATTGCCATAAAGTCAGTGGCTAAGGTTTATTCAATTAATTTTGTAAAGGAAAGTTTTATTATTATATATATTTTTTCTATTTGGCCTTGTATTTCAGTCATTCAGCTCCTGAGAATGACTCCATGTGTGCTTATGTTCCATACCTGTATACTGTATTTTTTACTGTATACTGTATTTTTCAGTGCCTGCACCCCCATCCCTCTACACCAAGGTCTTGAACAGCAGTGTGGTCCAAGCGTCCTGGGACCCCTCCTTCAAAATGGGCCAACACCAGGGTTACAGACTCTTCTACAGACGGGCCCATGCTCCAGCTTTCACGGGCCCCATCAGCTTTCCGCGCAACGTCACCCAATACAGTATCAGCCAGCTTGGTCAGTATCCAACAAAACACATCTCCAACAATATCCTCTTTTGTTACATCCAACTGAGCTTGTTTTGTTTAATGTTCAGGGTAATTTCACATCAAAGCTCCCCAACATCGCATGCTCTGATCTTTTTGGTATAAAACGCTTGCATCTGATAATCTTGCTTTGCTTTCATCCAGATTCCTCCCTCGTCTACGAGATAAAACTGCTCGCGTACAACCAACACGGGGATGGGAACGCCACTGTTCGATTTGTTTCGCTCCGGGAAGCCTTGGAGAAATCTGGTACTCCCTTTGCACAAAACACAACCGCACACTAACCCCCTTTAAGCCCCTTTATGGGAGATTTGAGGTAATTTGGCCCCCTGTTATCTGCTCTGTGTGTGCGTGCTTCCTATTTATGCAGAAAGGGTGAGGACTGCAATAAAGAAATCCAACGTGAATTTACAAAGGGGGCACTGTTTGAGGATACATTTGTCTTAAATGTAGTCTATTGTATTGCACAGGCACTGCATCATGCTTTAAGTGAGAGTCACAAAGCACAGGCCTCTTTCTAGCAACTGGAAGCTCTATCTATTAAGCTACAAAAGTCTAATATAATGGAATTGAAAAAACTAATCGATGAGTGCTGTCACAAAGTTATAATTTCAAACTTATTCCTATATTACGCAAAATGAATTCTCGTGAGCGTTATGCCTTGTTATAATGCTGTTACCTGCTCAAAAACAAACCTGGAGTTGTGTTTTATTTCATTTACACATGTTTGACGAATCTAGCATTCTTAGGCAGTTTGCATCCTCAAAGCTCAAAATGCTCTGGTCCACTTTTCGATGTCATGTAGTGGTAATTTTGAAGTTAAGAGCTACCATTTACGTTTAGTTTTGTGGAGATAGTCAGTCTAATCTAATAATCTAATGAAGGTGTATGGAGTTTAAAAACACAGTGGAGCATTTCCTGTTTTGCCACATGACATCGGTGTTTTCAGTCTGAGAGAAAAACTCAGCCTAAATATGCAGGGTTTGTGTGTTTAACATTTGTGAATGAAACAAAAACACAATGATGAGAAAACTGCATAACATTGGCCCTTTAATTGTGAATTGCCTATTTCAGTGCCACAATGATAATAAAAACTCTTTCGACAGTAGATTAAATAGAATAGAATAGATGTATACCAGTTTTAGTATTGATTAGTATTTGGGAATACATTTTTTTGACAACCCTTGAATCCAGGCAGACTTTGTGTGTTTACTGTAACACGCACATACACATACTAATATCTGGAATATAAATATTTTCTAAATAAGAGGAGTCCTTTAAAAATGAATCACCCATTTGAACAAAATCTACAGTCCATCGCAAAATGTTAAAACTAGTGGGAATTAATTATCAGAAGCAAAAACCAGGCTAGTTGCTTGAGCTATAATATATTAATAACACCTTCCTGAGTGCAGTGACATGACACAACCCCACACATACCTGCAGTTGCTAAATAATAGAGTCTTCCCACTGTATGAGGGGCTACTGTTTCGCGGTATAGTGGACTGCCAATCAAATGCCAACACAGTGCATTGTCTATGTAATTCCCACGCCAACTTCCCTGTCTGCCTCCGACTGCAAGTGTGACCAATCTGTTTTGTCCTGCTAGTTCTGGACGACCCGTGCGACTGCGTAAAGGATGAACACAGCAAAACATCCACCACTGGGATCATAATTGGCATCCATATTGGAGTCACCTGCATCATTTTCTGTGTGCTCTTTCTCGTGTTCAGCTACCGCGGCAGGTGAGGAAAAAACTTACAAAAAAATCACAAGAAAAAAAGCACAAAACTCCTCTACGATTGTGGCTGAGTGCTTGTGCTTGTATGTGGTCTCGCAGGTTAATGATGTGCAAGACAGTGCAGGCTACCCCCCAGGCTGGACACGGTGCGGCCATAGAGTCCTCTTCCTCTTCCCAGGGGGCCGTGGGGCTGAACGGCGCCACCCGAAGGGAAGTGGAGGTCAATGGCAGCGCAGCGGGGAAGAAGCCAGTCGACAGCAACGAGTTAGAGAGACTTTTCAACCAAACAAATGGGCAAGACACACATATGGTGAGTGTCTACAGTGAGAATCATTCAAATAGAAACTGTGCCACTTGGATTTAGACAAACTTTATCTATCCACAAGGGAAATTATTTGGACAGAGTAGCTCACACATCACAATATATTATAATAACAAAGAGCAACAATATAAATGGTAGTAATACATTCACAGTAGGTAGCAAAAATAGCAATGGACTGGTGTCAAATAAGGCATAATTACTGTATATGTACAAGACAAAAAAGAAGAAATATAGTAAAAGTATCTTGACTATATACAAGAGGTCGTAAGGAGAAACAGTGCAAAGATGGAATAGTGATTGACATAGGGTTATCTATTACTTAAGGGTAAGTTGTTGTACAGTTGTATGGAGTATGGAATGAATGTAGTCCTTTATTTTTCACTGTTTGCGGAGAGCTGTCTAAAAAAATAGTAGTATTTATTATGTCTTGTGTAATGTCTTCTTTTCTACCCATTGTTTTTCTTGTGAGGTGCAGGGTGGAAAGGTGGTTATAGCAATTCTGCCTCTCCATTGTTAAGCGCGCTGGTCTTGTTGCCGTGACTCAAAATAATAGTAATTTTCACACTTGAAACTCTTACAATACTGACCTTGAGAAAGTCCCAGAAATCACAGAAGGTTCTTACAGTGCACAGACTTCATTTCATCAAAGTTTCAGTTTATCTTATTAGATATGCATGAATTAGTGAGTCTAAAATGCAAAATGTAAATGAATGTGGAAAAAAGCTTTAATTAACTGGTCACGTGTGCTTCATCCGTGGCTTTTATTTTATTTAATTGGGAAGGCTTCAATTGCACATACCCCCGAAAAGAAACAAGATGGAGATGAATAAATGGCATCTTTTATCTGTCTTTGTAAATAACTTAAAGGTGCACTATGTAACTTGTATAAGGAGGGGCGGCTACTTGCTTGTCTCCATTTCTTTGCATGATTTCTTTGCAGAATTAACTTATCTGCCTTGCACGTATTCAATTACAAGTGTTTTATTCCTCAAAAATACCTTGATAAACATGAAGTCTTATTATGTGTAGGCGTGCTTCTCCAGAGATCTGACATTGTCATTGTGATAACCAATTTTATTTCCATGCTGTAGATTATTAAAAAAAAAAAGTATCTCCATGGAGACAAGCAAGTGACGGATCTTCCAGAAAAGCTACACAATGCACCTTTAATATTAGGCTAAAACTAAAAGGCCAAAATGTTGAATCAAAACAGAGTTCAGATTTTATAGACTTTTGTCCTTCCTCTGTGCAGTTGAACCACACAGCCTCCTCTGCCCTGAACGACACCCAGCTCTCCACCATCCTCCTGGACGAGTTCTCGGTGGAGCGAGAGGCAGAGACCCTGTTCCACCAGCCCCCCACAGCCCCCCCAGCACAGCGCCAGGACCAAGGCTAACCGCATATGAAGGCCAACTCACATGGTGCTCACCAGCGCCACCTTTAGACTCTCACTCAGGTTGACACATGTTTTCTTTTCAAGATTTTTTTTTTTTGTGCAAAGATTTTTTTTAATGGTAAGTTAAAGAGGATCAAGGACTGTGTAATGAAGGGGCATTTGACCTGGGGTTTGCAGACTAGTTTATTTTTATTTGACCATTTTGTTTTTATGGTGTCTGGCAGCACACAGAATAGACGCCCCAGAATGTCCTTGTTTATACAATGATTTAATTTTTTAAGTTTATGAAATATATATACAGTATATATATATCTTTATCAACTTTATGTCATAAGTTATTGGTCTTCTTATGCGGATGTCAAAGACTCCTGCTGCCTGCTCTCACCTACCAATGATGACACCTCTGTGCTACAGCAGACCTCAGCTTTTACCAGGGATTCAAGTAACTCTTCTCTCAGGACTTCATTTCTTCAGCGAAATATCAGCATTTTCTATGAGTTCTCGGCCTTCATACAGGAAATAGACTTGGCTGTGTGAACGCTTCAACAAAAACCTACCTCAGCCGGAATGAATGTGTTTGTGGGGAGCTGGGGGGGACTGTAGCTTCCTGTGTGCTTATGGTTATTTTAAAATACAGAGGAACAGTTCGGTTCAACTATGAAAAGTTACAAGACCAGGTGCCGTACTACCTCAGATGTCTCTCTTCTCCTGCTCGTCGAAGCAAAATGAGTGTCCAACATAAAGCACTTCCAAATGCTGAATTTAATGTTCTACCTCAGATAACAATGTTAATATTGTGGCTGTTGTTGTCGTGTGTCTGTTTGTTGCATAATGAAAAACCCTCTTCACCTTTTGTGACCGCGCTGGTGATGATGTGGTGTTTGTACATACAATGTCAGTACCTCATGCAAGTCGACAGATAACACTGTTGTATGAATTATAGTATGCTAGGATTTGTTGAATATTAATTATCCTGTTCCATTTGACGCCTTCTAATAGTTTTCTTCATTGAACGACATAACATACTCTTTTAGTCTTTATGACGAGAGGAGATACGCTGCAGTGCTGTTTCTATTGTCAGGGCTATTTACTGCTAAATGAGACGTGCCCCATAGTGTTCAATTGGATATAAAGATGAAATCATGTACCAGCATCATACAGTGTATGTATGTACGTATGTGTGTGTGTGTATGTGTGTGTGTGTGTGTGCAGCTGTGTGCATGGCCTCATACATACACTGTATGACGTGTATGCAACAAACCAAGCACAAATTTTACCAAATTGTTCCAAATACCTATACTATTGATATTGGTCCAATGAGAAATAAAGAAAAGATTTTATTTTTTAAAAATAAGACTAAAACTATCCAAAAATATGAGCTTATCCCTAAATCAAATTGGCTGCGGTGTTTTTCTCACCTCTGCAGTGTTTTAGCTTTCACCTCATTTTTCTGCCTCCTTTTATAAAGAAGGCGTGATCTTTCAGTTCACTCTCATGACTCCAAAATCCTCCTCCTCTCTGCCCACTACAAGTGCTTCTCTGATCACGAAGCTGCAGGGGACAGGGCTGCTCTCGCTCTGACTCACATTTTTACAGAAGTTTGCAGATGCATTATGGGTAACTACCTCAACTCTACCTCAGATCCTGCCTTTGACCTCAGGTCTATTGAAGGACACAGAGAATTAACAACAGAGTACACTCACAAAGATATGTCTATGATGCTTGTTTTTCACTCAAACTGGACAGATACGCAGAGAGCAAACTTCAGGGCCTCTTGTTCACTAACTCCTCCAGCCGATCATCTCCAAACATCTCCACATTGTGATCATGTGACTTCAGTTCCTCATGTTTGGTGCTGTTTACTTTATATTGACTGTGGAGCGTAGAGTTGTGAATAGACTGAATGGGAAGATCTAGATGTAAGTGGGGGACAATTACCACTCCAACACAGAACAAAGAGACACTAACTAAACTATCTGGTCTATCTAGCAGAGTGGTTAACACAATTAGCAATCTGGACTCAAAGAGCTCCTAATATAGCAGTGTCACAAAAGTTTAACATGGCTAAAACACAAAATTGTGTCAAATGTTACATAAGACATCTTGCTGTTTTCAGTTATCATAACTATCCAGATTATTGTTCCATGTGCTTGTGTGTGGAGAGGTACATGTCCCCTGCTGCAGATACTGTAATTGCCTGCCATTTTGTGTCTCCCCACACTTACTGTATGTCCCTGCACACACCCTTTCCCTATATCTGTAACTTTTGCATTTGATTCTATTTGTCTGAAATGTTCCCGTTGCACCCATTTCCTATATATGGTGTTAATACCACAATGCATTTGCGTGAAAAACTATGGTACTTGTCAATATATCTGAACAAATGTCTCCAGTATATATATTTATGAATTACTGCTGGTCCAGGGCTGCTCTGCTACCACCAGTATTTAACAGGGGAAAAAGTGATATATCTATGTTATTATTTCTTCCTCAGTGTAATTAAGGGTTTATCAGGAAGTAGCCCATAACCTCTCAGTTAGCTGTAACAGGTTTTAGTGCCATACAAATGAACCTGATTCACTTGGTGCTTCAGCCATCTTGTTTACCAGTGCTATGACAGGCCGCCTTGTTCCTATTGCTGTACATTAGAACGACAGGCGTGATTTAAAGGCAGGGTCACGCTGACTGACAGGTGCTCTAACTCTTTCAGCTCATTACTACAGCGGCTTACACAGGGACCATTTCCGTAACAGCATTGTGCAAAAGTTTTGGAGATGTGTGGAAGAGATTACAAAACCAGGAAATTTATGTTTATTTTTAGTTTTGGAGCATTTAAAGCTGCACTTTGTAAATTTGTATAAAGCTTGGTGTTGTTACTTTGCCTGGGATGTTCCACAGTATGGCATTAAACATTTATATCTTGTATTTATTAACTTACAGGTCTTTTTATTACTCAAAAATTCCCGTAAAACTTACATTATTTCTCTAAGCGAGTCCGCGTCTCCACAGATCTGACCGCTTACTGGTTATCTCTGTGGAGATGGTTAATTAAATGCCATACTGTAGATCATTCCAGGAAAAAAAAAACAACAACATGGAGTTAAACAGAAAAGTTACACAGGACACCTTTAATATTCAGTGGCTCAGAAATAGATACAAAATTTAGGTAATGATTCAGACCAGTGTTTTGACCCAACAGTTTTTAAAGTGACTACGGTGGCAAGAACATTTTTTGGTAAATTAGAACCACCTTTCTTTTCTTTAGGCAACAATTATTTAGTCTGTTGTGTAATATTGTGGTTTAGAATAGGGCCAAAGATATTATAGGTACCCCCAAAAGTAGTTAAAAAAGCAAAAAAAATGGGATGGATTCTTGTACACTGTGTTGTTTCGTGACTCACTGGAAGCTATAAGATCAGACCATTGCAGGATAGGACCAGTGCCTTGGTAGAGGTCTACACTAAATGTCTTTATTCCACTTGTCCAATACCTTTGCACAATACTGTATATTAGCAGCCTTGGGTGTCTTCTCCTCTTCTGTCAGTGAGCAGACCCTGCCTTATGGACGGGAAGTGCTCAGGGACACACTTCAATCTATGTTATATGTCCATCGGCCTCCACCGTTTTACAAGTCTGTTTTCTTCAGGGTTCTTGGTCATCGATACAGTTGTAAACAAGTGGAAATAAATGCTCAACTTTATCGAGTGCAATTTTCTGTACAGTTTTTATGGCCTTTAGTGCTGCTGGATTTTAAAGGCCGTGGAGAAACTATTACCTCTATATTTCCTCTGTACTTTGTACCTACTTCTTGGTGAATACACTCTCAGGTTTAACAGAACACACTGAGCAGCCTCTTGGATCTCACACTACTCCAAAGCATGGCTCCTCTGCTGGGGTTTACAGAGCCCTTTGTGTTTTGCATATTATTAACCAAACTGTTCTCATCAAAACCACAACCAGAGATATAAGGTCTGTCAGTAAGTGAGGATTTGTCAAGTAGTAGTGGTAAACATAATATCTATTGTATGTATTTTTTGGGACAATGTTACCAAGATATTCATTAAGGCAGTGTTTCCCAAACTTTTTTCTGAGGACCCATATTTTAAAAGTCACAAACCTTCGCCAAGTCAATAGACATTATTCATAAATCACAAAATAAAGGCAGATTTGACCATTATTGAACATTAAAGAGGATAGTTTATTGTTGACTGAGTGATCGTGTCTTTAATATTACTCAAGTTTTGAACAGTAATTGAAAAATAGTCAATAAAATAATTACAAAAATATTAGAAATTATACAAAACATGTCTTAACATTTGAATATTTCTAATGAGATGGGTGGGCCTGTCTGTGTTTTTGCAGATCAGTGTCAGAATTGTCTATTTCAGACTTACATGCAGATCGTGACAAGGCGACCCCCCCCCCAAAAAAAAATCTCCAGTCTTTGGGAAACAGTGCATTAAGGAACTCTGTCAAATCAAACTTCAAGTTATTGGCAATTAAAATACATGAATAATTTACTACTAGAATAATTTCAAATATAAATCAACCAGCTAGACTGACGTGTATTTGAAATTAAAATGTTTTTTTATGTTAAGCAAAAAGCAGAATTTATTCTCAAATTCTCTTCCAACATTTCAATTTGTAAGATTTTCAAATTTCAATTTTTACCTTTTAAAATTCTCAAAATCTGTAGTTCTGACTATGGATGCAAAGATGTATTAAGCTTTATATTACTATGTCTACTACACATTCCTTACTGGGCACAGACTAAATGATCTCATGGCCGTGAGAACAGGTTGTGTTAAGTTTATGTGGGTATCAGACTGGACCATACAGTGCTATTCTATTGCAATCCAAGTGAAGCAGCTAAACTCAGTGTTTTTTCCATTAACACTCCACAGGCCCCGCGTGGGTCCCATATTACATTATGTGCTATTGATCATCGTGGCACCGAATGACCATTGATGTACGCTGATTAGATTTCTGATGCATTAATC